TTTTGATGTCGAGCGCGACTGCAGTTTGTGCCATCTGTCACCTGCCTGAACCAAGGCCAAATATCCTGAGCATGTGCTATTTTTGGCTCAGCACAGTAGCGATACAGACGTGGCACACGTGCAGCACATAATTGTACTAACTATTTTAAATATGTCGTGCCTGTCTAACATAAATCATTGTCACATTTTCAACCTGCAGAAATCAAACACTTCTTCTAATAATAACACAGACAGTGACGGAGAACGAAGAATAAAATATCTGGTCATAACTTGTCATCCAGATGGTATGCATGCATCCAAGTTTTGTTTGGCAAATACTGACTAAATCCTGCACTATTAAGGTGGGAACTTAAACATTTTTATCACCTCTTAATTAATTATTTCAGCTCTTCTTTACACTTCGCATTTTGGTGCTATATCTTATTAACTGTTAAATGTTTCCTCCTCAAGGTCAACACTGTCTTCTTTTTCTTAAAGGTGAAAATAAAATTACAAGTCTGACTTAAGTAAAAGTAGCAAAATCTAATTTATATGAAGTACCTTTTCTAAAGAAAAAATATCTTGTCTATGTAGATTCACTAATACTCTTAGCACTGTAAGCTTTTAGAAAAGCTCTTAGAAAAATGTAAGCTCAGTGGTGTTTTGTCTTCCACTGAAGGTTTTTGCATTAATACATGCAACCGTGCTCCAATATAAAACAAGTCCTGACTGCACTATTTGTGTATTTCTCATATTGATGCAGGTGAGGTCTATGCACCTTTGGTCCAAGAAGCTGGCATTCCAGCACGCCGTCGACGACAGCTGAACTATGACGTCACTGTAAACAAAACACACATTACAATGAAAATGTAACGGGGGAGACTTTCCAGTGATTAAAGTGAATTAAGCTCTGTGTGTATTTGTGTAAACCAATTATATATGAGTCTACATTCTATCTTATAATCTAAAATATCTGACACAATACCCTTTTATCGTTGGCTTACTTTGTGATGCTAGAGTCTGTGTTGTACATCAGTTTCAGCCTCAACGAATTCAAACTTTCATAATTGATTGGTGAGAGACTTTTGCCAATATTAATCACTCTGAAGTCTTCCGAGGGGACAGAGGTCTGTAGAGGGGAAGACAGAGAACACATAACACCACTGTTACAAACACGGAAGACTGTTTGCTTTGGTCCTTTGCAGTCTGTGTGGCAAAGTTTGATCTGGGTTGCGTCGACAAAATAAACAGGCCATGCCTGAGATGGAAATGTTTTGGCTAAGCGCTTTACGTCTTTATCAGCCTACGTTCCTGACAGTTTGCTTGAAAATTACATTTTTTTTACCAGATAAAGGCTCCAAATACAGAGTTCCATCAACTGAACTGGTTAAAGCTGAGACATTAACGCCACCCTGTGGTGAAACACTAAACCTAAGTAACACAGACATGATTGCTTGGAGTTTTTGGATGTGATTGCTTAGAATTATACAGCGTGCTGCAGGAAACTAAGAAGCACGTGTGTGTCACATACGGTTAATCATTTTTTAATTCCTGATGGTTTTTAGAGTACATCTTTGATTTTCAGTTTCACATTTCTCTATATTTTTAACATGAAAATAAATAACAAAGCATTTATTCATTTATTCATTCATGAAAATTCAAACAAACAATAACAATGGTAAAACTGGAAGTAAGTATATATTTTTAATTTAAAAATGTGATATTTTAGTATTAATCTTTATGAAATCACATACCTGCTCATTAGAGTACAATAAGAAACTATGGTCTCCTCCACAGATGATTTTGGTCACGGTATACTGTTTTGATTCTAATTAAGAAACATAAAAAAGAGATAGACACTGAACATAATAACAGGGAATAAAATATATATATTTCACACTGTAAAGCACTTTAAACTGCATGTGTCTGTAAAGATTCCTCACCTTGAGAAAAAAGATGATACACAGTAATGAAGGATAAAGAATAATACACTGTGGAAGCATAAAGCAATCATAAAGCATTTGGCTCAAAAGCTCTTCTTTGTGCTATTTCAATTTGATATACATGGCAGAATAAATTGTGTTCTTGCAGTCTCCTTACAATATTTTTTTTTAAATCTCTGCTGTGACTCACACCCCCTAGCCTACATTACAAGCAGATTGCAGGATGATTTCTGGTAAATCCAACAGAAGACACTGCTGTGCAAATACAAGCTGTTTTGGCTGAATACCAACTATCCTCTTGGTTGTTTTGGCAACAGCAACTGGAGCCAAATCAGAAATACCTCCGCAAGACAGTGAAGCAGCAGAGTCTAGCTGGACACTAACAAAGCCCACTGTATCGTTATCATCTCTCAAAGTCCTCCATTGTCTTCAAGGAAAAAATCGGAAACAAGGTTCCCAGGACCATAATGGTTAGGCCAAATAAAACTGTAACATTCACAGCTGCCTGCCTGGATTTCCACTGCAGTTACCAGTAAAGGCACAAACAGGAAACATGTCTAACAAACGTGAGAAGTGGGAATGAGGCACTTTTAAAAAGGCATTCGGTCACAAGCATATAGGGACTGATCGGCAAGTCCTCTGCTTACCTCTTCTATGGAATTTTCCAGTCAGGAAACTGGCCTTGACAGGAAATGGGCTTCTGGCATCCCCCAGTATTCCTGTTCCCAGCTGGCCATGGCTGTTACAACCAAACGCATATACCACGCCAGAGGAAGGCACGAACGCCAACGTGTGGTGCCTGGCAAAAGGAAAAACCACGAAATGAAGAAACTCAAAAAAGTAAATTTACCACTTTGATAGTTACACATTTACAGCATTAGATATGCAGTTAACATTATCAAAGGTACCTTACAGCTCTCTGATTTAACATGTTCAGTTTAGATCAGTTGTTTTTGCAGCAGATATTTTTTAATTATTACTAATGTTTATATTTTTTTTTAATTTGGATTCTCAAAGAGAAGTTTTGTTCTAACGGTCAAGAGGATAAAAGAAATAACTGAGCAAAAAAAAGATGCAACAAATGTCTGTGGCTGGAAGCAAAACAATCAAAGCTATTAACATTTAAGGGACAAGGTAACTTTCTATAAGTCTTTTCAGTATTCCTTTCCCATCAGGTGTGGAGAAAATACTAAAACAAAATTTTAAAAAAAAAACACACACCGTACAAGAGAGTTAAAACTGCGGCTTTCTGAGAGTCAAAAAAAAGTTTAAGCTTCATAAACATAGACTTTACTCCAGTGTTGTTTTACTTGGTTGCATGAGATCGTATGGGTATAACCAACAAAAGCCCTCTGTAGGTTTATCAGAGACAGTACCTGCCACAGGTGATTTGGGACACCTCGGTGCCCATGAGCTCCAGCACTCGTCTAGGTAAAAGCTCACTATTGGTGGAGCCGTGACCCAGCTGACCCCACGAGCCATCACCAAACGTAAACAAGCCGCCATCCTGCCAGGAAGAGTAAACACACTGACCTTTTCCGTGCTTTTTTCCATTTAAGAGGGAAACTTTATGCATAGTCTTGCACTAAAACACTTATGGCACACGTTAGGTGGTAGATTAAGATAAGATGGGGTTAGACCGTGTGGTTGGAATAAGACTCAGTTTTTAACTCTGTATTAACAAAGTGTAGTGTAAAATAATTTTTATGGCAGCTAAACAAGAACGACCTAACAAAACAAGACTTTATAATATCTGGTTGCATAATATCTGTTACTAGAAATGGCCAAAATTAAACATCCATATGTAAAGCATGTACAACACAGTTAAACATAAATCATACCTTTGTCAAGGCTGCTGTATGTTCATCTCCACAGCTGATGTAAACAACTTTCTGAGATCTCAAAAATTTGATGTGGCATGGGACGGCACGATCTGTGGAAGGCAACAACACACGAGCAAGTCCACACTGTTAAACACTTCAACCAGATGAGTCCACTCAAATTAAGAAGATGCTGGAAAACACTTAAACTTTTGCATTCTGATTTAGCACCATAATGGCAACTAAACTAAGCGTGGATATGCTAATTAATTAAATTATTAAATTATTTAATATTGAGGATCATTTCCATGAAATGCTAATAAATAGATCTCTTCTCCAAAATGGTGACCTCTAACTACTCATAAAACAAAAAATGAGCGTGAGAGCTATCAAGCTCGTTGCCATTGTTCCACAGACAATGGCAACAATACCGTTTTGCGGTAGATTTGCTGCTGTTGTCCTGTGGCCTGACCCAGTATTGGCCAAACTTTAAATGTCAGGTAGACATCTAAAGTTTGACTCTACAACACTTTGGTATCCGGAGGAGTTCATGGTCAACTCCATGACTCCAAGGTGCCCAAATCATCACCCCTCCACCACCGTGCTGACAGATGGTATGAGGTGTTTATGCTGACATGCTGTGTTTAATTTTTCCACATGGTGCTGTGCATTATGGCCAAACATCTGCACGTTGGCATAATGATAAATGGTAAATGAACTAGTTCTTATATAGTGATTTTCTCCTCTAGCTGACCACTAAAGCACTTTATACAACATGCCTCATTCACACATTCACATCCATTCTATGCTTAAGTGCTTTCTATGTGACATTCAGAGACACAATAGAAATAGAAGCTTCCTATTAGTAGATGACCTGCTCTACCTCCTAAACTACAGCCACCCCAACGGTCTCATCTGTCCAAAGGACTTTATTCAAGAAGTCTTGTAATTTTCTCAGATGCAACTTTTCAAACCTAAGCTGTGCTGTCATGTTATTTTTTAGAGAGAACAGGCTTCCTCCTGGTAACCATTCCAAATAAGCCACACTTGTTCAGACCTTTTCTATTTGTACCATCATGAACTTTACAATTACCTGCTAACAGAGGCCTCTAGAGTCTGAGATGTAGCTGCTGGGTTTTTTGCAGTTTCTCTATGTATTGCTCAGTTTGAATTTGCTGAGACGTCCTTTCCAGGGAAGATTGTGGCATTGTGTTAAGACGTGAATGCTTCAGATCAGAAACTGCCAAAACGTCTGCTTTGATAGCAGTACTCACACTTGACAGTCATTATTAATTATTAATAGTACCTAGCTGTTACTTAACCTCTAAAATATTATCAAAAGAGTACAGGTGTGCTTAGTTTTTCACAACACCATGTGGAGTCCTGTGAAAACCTTTTTTTTTTCAAGCACGAATAAATTGATAAAAATGTGAGACACAATATTACGTAAAGATTTATAGAATTTGTATGAAGCTCTACACTCTGCATTATATCATATAATAGTCGCTGTTCTTTCTAACCAGGTGATTATTACCTTGTTTATCATTAAGGCCCAGTTGTCCAGCTCTGTTTTTGCCCCAGCCAAATACAGCTCCAGACAATGAGAGGGCAAAACTGTGGTCTCCTCCTGCCGTTATTTGTGCCAAAGGAATTCCTGCCAGAGACTTTAGAGGATGAGGGAACAGCTTGCTGGGCTCTCCTTTCCCCAACCCGAGCTGCCCGCTGGTGTTCTGGCCCCATGTGAACAGCTGGCCATCTGAGAGGAAAAACGCACATCATGAACTTTACCTCACATCAACACCAATGTGTTGAACACAAAATACAGGGCAGATGTCTGTTTTATAGAGTGGCCATATTTAGAGCTGTTACAGGGTGTGGCTCAGACCTACATATTGCCAAAACATTAACAACACCAAATGTTTTCATTTATAGCCAAACTTAAATCAAGTCAAAGCTTACACCAAACATAAATAAATAAACAACTTTTCAGGCTGACAGATAAATCACAGACCCCATTATCCTGTTAGTATTAATACATGAAGCTATGTGTGTTTAGCCCCAAGAAGCTGTGGTTCAACATCTGATCACATTTCTTTGGACAAAAAACAGTCCATTTAAAATCTCCCATAATGCAAAACCATTGCATTTTCTCAAACTATGCTCTCCTCCCTTTGCAATCACATATTTTAATGAAAATATTATGTCTTGAGTCCTAGTCATGCTAACCTTGATGCTGATGGTTGGCACTTTGTTGTTACATTGATAAACACACACACTTGTTCTCCATCATTACTGCCTGGTGATTGCTCGTAAAACAGCCTTGACCATGTGCAAGTTTCACTCAGATCTGACCAATACTGTTAAAGGCTTAACGCTTCTAGTGAACTGTGGACGAGCGGATAGATGAGCTAAAATTTGCATGAAGTGAATTTAAGAATTTATGAGGGTTTTCTGATGCCATAAATTTCAGCTCCATTGGACACAGTTGGGATCCAACATTCAGATCGTGAACAGTGATGAGGTGTTATAAAGAAATTGTCTTTCACACCTCTAGAAAGTGCGATGCAGTGCTGATTCCCACACATTACTTGAGAGATGCGATGGTCACACAGTCTTTTGACCAACCTAGGATAAATTTAAAAAGAAACAAAAACATTTGTTTATCAAGCCAAAAATACACATTTAAAACATTTCTTGTTTAAGTAGATGATGCATGAAAAGGCTGGGAATTCCAAATAATGTCAAACCTGATGTCTATTGTCTTAGCTGATTATAGGCCAATCACAACCTTGTCAGGTTTTAGAATGCATCAGATTGCAGAGACAGCTTTAGTGTAGGTTACAGATGGTTTTCTTATGGCCACTGATGGTAGATTCCTGTCTGTGCTTCTTCTAAACCTCGGTGCAATGAGGTTCGATGACCATAATTTAATTACAGCGATTAGAGCATGCTGTAGCTATTCAAGGTGGTTCGAATCACATCTATCTAATAGACTTTTTACTTGCTATTTAACTTTTATTTATACAGGTAGCCCCATTGAGACTCAACATCTCATTTACAAGAGAGATCTAATTCAGACAAACTTCGTAAAATTATAACACTTCAATTTGTTCATGTTAATTGGGAGTCCTCTTTACACACAAAGGTGAATTATGGAGTTCTACAGGGTTCCACACTAGAACCAGTTCTGTTTATATTTTACATGCTTCCCTTAGGCCAGGGGTGTTGAAATCCAGTCCTCGAGAGCTACTGTCGCTCTCCTTCTTCCGACACACCTGAACCAAATGAATGACTTGTTACCAGGCCTTTGCCAAACTTGATGGCATGCTGAAGGGGTAATCCAATCATTTGATTCAGCTGTGTTGGAGTAGGGATGGATCTAAAAGCCGCAGCTCTTGAGGACTGGAGTTGGACACCCCTGCCTTAGGCGGTATCATTGGAAGGCAAAACATATATTTTCACTCCTATGCAGATGATGCCCAACTTTATCTATCCATGAAGCCAGAAAACACACACAACTTAGTGAAACTGCAGGAATCTCTGAAAGACAAAGGCCTGGATGACCTATAATTCCTAAATTCCGCTACAAACTGAGGTTAGCATACGTGGCCCTAAAAAAAAAACAACTTAAAAATATGTTACTATATGCTTACTCTAAATGGGATTACCTTGGCCTCCAGTAACACTGTGAGGAACCTTGGAGTCATTTTGACCAGGATGTTTTTCAATGCACACACTAAGCAAATATATAAGAACTGCTTTCTTCCTTTCGTGCAATCTCTTTCTCAGATTGATACTGAAAAACTAGTATTTATTACTTCTACGATGCAGTATGGTAATTATTGATGTCCTAAAAACTCACTGAAAAGCTTCCAGCTTATCCAAAATGCCGCAGCACGAGTACTGACAGGGACTAGAAAGAGCATATTTCACCCATACTGGCTTCTCTTCACTGGCTCCCTTTTAAATCCATAATAATCGGGTCCCATTTTATGTTAAAGACCTCATAGTACCGCATCACCACAATAGAGCACTTTGCTCTCAGACTGCAGGCTTACTTTTAATTCCTAGATTAGTTAAAAGTAGAATGGGAGGAAGAGCCTTCAGCTTTCAGGCCCCTCTTTTGTGGAACCAGCTTCTAGTTTGGATTTTGGAGACAGACACCCACTTTCCTTTTCAGATTAGGCTTAAAACTTTGCTTTTTAATCAAACTTATAGTTAGGGCTTGATCCAGTGATCCTGAATCCTCCCTTAGTCATGCTGCAATAGGCCTAGTCGGCTGGAGGCTTCCGTGATGTACTGAGTGTTTTTTTTCTCTTACCATGTGTTTTTACACTAATCTTCATTAAATCATTAGTTATTAATAATTTCTTGCGCTCTTCCACAATGTGTCTTTCTCATGTCATCCTTCCCTTACCCCCAACTGGTCGAGCCAGATGGCCGCCCCTCCCTGAACCTGCCTCTGCCTGAGGTTTCTTCCTGTTAAAAGGGAGTTTTTCCTTCCCACTGTCACAAAAGCGCTTGCTCATAGGGGGTGATCTGATTATTGGGATTTTCACTGTATTACTGTAGGGTCTTTCTCTTACAATACAAAGTGTCTTGAGGCATCTATTGTTGTGACTGGGTGCTATATAAATAAAACTAAGTTGAACTGAATTATGAAAGGCTGCTGCATACAAAATACTGACTATTAAACTATCTCGCTGAGTATATGTTTACATGGGGCTTCTTCTCCTCCACTATAACACTGAGGTCAGTCTGAGTAACCAATAGATTAACAATGAAGATGTCACTGTAGTTTTTCTTTCTTTTTAATAATGATTTTGTGAGCATATAGATATAAATATATTTCTGATATATCTATTTAGTCTTAGTCTCTTTTGTCTGCTTTCTTCCCCTCATAAACTTTCAGTAAATTGTCTATTAAAAATAAAATTGTTTGTCAGGGCACTAATTGCTTATTCTAGAAAATGTTTTGCAAACCACTTATTACAGTAAAATCCCATTTTCCCAGTATTTGCATGTGAAAGACTTACAGGAAGTCTGTGACTAACAGTTTTCAAATAGGCTCTGATAAACCTGTCTACGTCTGCACGCTCTATGGACACACTTAGCTGTGGCAGTGGCCAGATGTACGCTGTACAAGTAGGTGCTAGGCTGCTGGTAAGTACTGTAAGTTTTCCTACTGGCATGTGTAATTCTGTGTGGCCAGGCTAAACCCTTCTTCCTATAAACTACACAGGCACCTGGGAATTCGAACAGTCGTCTCTGTGGTCCCCAGTCCCAGCTGTCCCCCATCACCAGCTCCCCAGGCAAACAGTTGACCCTGTTCATTCACTGCCATCGAATGCCCCCGACCGCATGACACCATCGCAATCTTTTGGGTATCCAGAGCCCCAACAACCTCTGTGAAGAGATGACAGGTCTACAGTAGAGGTCTTTTCATTACTTTTACTCTTTACCCATTTGTTTTTCAGTTATAAGTCTAAATATTTTAAACTACATGCTATTTATTATACAGGTATTTATTGTACACAATAATACAACAGATCCAAGAAACATAATATACACATTTCTTCTGAAAATAGTATATTATTAACTGCACTGAGAAATGCTGTGTTGAAGCACGTGCAAAAAGGATGTGTGGGTGAGACTTTGCAGTTGGTGTTGGTGGTATTCTGCTAAGGACCAACTAAGGGTTAGCTGCTTTAGACAAATTGAAAACACAAAATAGTTGATAATGTGGTTTTAAGTGAGGTAAGACTATAGCATTTAATCAACAATCAACATTTTTAAGCTTGTTAAAAAGATTCAATAACATAAACATAAAATGATAAAGGCCTTATAACAAAAATATAATTATGCCAAGTTGGCCCAGCATGTTATACAACCTGTGAGATAACATCCCAGAATCTATGCAGTGTATCTAACTAAAGATGTGGATGGACATACTTCTAATAAATCTGTGTATGATTTTTAAGGTCCAGCAATTCTTGTATTTGTTCAGGGCTGTTACAAGTTCACCCACATGCCATAACAAAGAACATGTAGAACACATTTCCACCCACATAATACCAACACAGACCCATCATGTCTGCAGTCACTACCATTTTAGGAAAAATGCCCAAAATGTGGGTACACGAATCCTTTCTGTTTCATGTCAAACTCACCTAATGATGCCCAATTCCAGCATACAGTCATGCTGCTGTTACATGAGTGTCTGTGCTTTTTTTTTAATCCTCAGTCATCCTGCTTCCACATCAGATAAAAACACAACAGCCACTGAACCTGCTAAGACTTGCAAAAGACATTTCACTGCATGCTCAGTCTTTGTAACTAAGCATCAGGGTATTTTTCTTCTCCCATATAAAATATTATTGGTGTCCACTAAAGAGCTTTTGGCTTATACCAAAGGAAAATAACCAGGTCTGTGATTTCTTTAAGTTTTTTGAAAGTGGAGTTTAATTTATTCCAGTTTAAAATTAATTATTATTTATCAAATGGCTGAGGGAAAAAAAACTTTATATAAAACTTTCTATTATTTGAGGCAAAACATAAAACAGACTCTTTAACTCAAACAACTATGTGCAGACCAATCTTGCTCGTGTGCCTAATCACTCATCATAGATAAGTTTTAACCTTGGTTATGTGCAACTAAGTCAGCCAAACATCACTAACGGCCCAGAATTTCACCATCAGCCCATGCCCATTTGTACAACTACTTTAATTGATTAACACTTTTATTTAAACGTAAAAGATGCAAAATAACAAGCTAGGTTTTTAATACATAACTCCACTATAGCTGAAGAACAGAATACAATTTGACTTTTTTATTAGACCATCAATTCACCTCCTGCTTGTGCAGCCAAACACAGACAAAGACAAATCATGCCAAATCAGTCCAAATTCAGGCACATGCTCAAACATACTTGCTATGTTGTTCACCAGGGTGGTCCAATCTGGTGTTTCCAATTTAGAGCTTACCTGGGGAAGTCCCTGCTTTGTCATGACCCAGCTGTCCCCAGCTGTTAGAGCCACATGTGTACACACTGCCATCATACATAAGAAACACAGAGTGTTGGCTTCCACAGGCGACCTCTTTCATTCCCCTGCCACTGAACACATGACAGTTCCTCGGCTCAAACACAGGGTTCTTCTCCACACCAATACCCAACTGCCCATCCTTGGCATTCCCCCAGCACAGCATGTTGGTGAAGGGAGAGGAAATGAGCACCGATGTGAAGAGGCAAAGAGAGTGACAGCCAGATGGAGGAAGACTATAATGATCAAGCTCGAGAGCAGGCCCGCTTTCGCCTCTTCATGTAAATTCCAACCCTAGAAGCAAAAGAAACAGTGTGATTATGCATATTTCTTCATAAGGAGCTGATTACTTTGCTCCATATGTGAACTCTTGACAGTTTTTCAATTAGGGAACAAGGACGGGCTCGGAGGTTGCTGTGGGTGTGTGTGACAGTGATGTAAGCATGATGACAGAGGAACAGGCAGTGTATTTAAATAAACCCTGTCAGTGTAATCCTGGCTTAAGCAGCTCCAAGCAGTCCCGCCTTAATGTCCAGCCTCTTCTAGCACAATAATATTACCAACTGAGTAAGCCAGAAAATACACAAAAGAGAAACGGGCCAATAGAGAGTATGCTTTACCTCACAATGTCCCAAAAACGTGACTTTTAAATATTATACATTTTCACTGTTTAAGGTGTAAATCGTAACTGGGATAAACGCCATATAAATATTTTTTATTAATACTATGAGTTATATCATTACAAGTATAACCTATATTACAACCCTGCAAAAACTAAACTGAATCACCTCTGAAAAAGGTGAAAAAACAGTTGTGATGAGAGGATGCGGGCACATGTATTAGAAAGCACTAATTTACCTGGGAGGGTGGAGGAAAACATAGGGAATGGACCAAAAGCCCAGGGTGACCATCCTTATCGCAGGTTGTAAACATTAAATAAATATTAGCTATACATTATAGCTTTGTTTAGCACACCAGTCTTGGCTGTGAGTTGCTCCCGTGTATTACCAGTGGGCTATCATTATTATTATTATCTAAACACTGGTAGCTCGATGTGAGATACGCTTAGCTGTATATTTAGCTGTATTTTAAGTAACAGCGGCTGCTTTATCGTTTGTGAGGACCAGCATGTTAAGTCAGGTTAGCTTCCTGACCCGTGCTGTGTGTACATTACAAACACATCCTGCAGCAGTGGCTAAATGTCCCCACTGACATTACCTGAGTAAGTTTGTTAGCGAGCCTGACAAACCACACAAGCCGTTATAGTTAATAGCTAACTAACGTTCGCAGGCTAAAACAGCGCTGGCTGTCAGTCTTATAGCTAAAAAACAGAGACCCGCTGGCTAGCCGATGAACACAACCTAAGCACAGCGGCGCTGTTTTACAGCTGGGTGGTGCAAAATTAAAACAGTGTGTTTACCTTGACAGATGCATTCTGAATTTGGGCGACTGGTTTCGGTTCATCAGCCCAGAAAACAAACGAGGAAGTGCCACAGCTGCTTACGTCACTAGACGTTATGGGCAGGAGACAATGTGATTGGTCCGCCGAGCATGGGGCTCTACCAATGGCTGTGTCCGAATTGGTAAATGCCTACTAGCGTAACAACAAAGTCCGTGAACATTAAATCTATTGGTGTGGCTATTTTATTTTCCCAATATTTAATACTTTTTTACAAGCTTTGTTTAAAATGGCGGAGGCTCTTAATTTTAATATCCGAATCATGTCAGCATCCCGTCAAACTAAGTCTTTTAGGTGTTATGTTTCAAGTTTGTGTTAGGTATTGGAAGGTCCTGTGATGTTTTTTATGTGAGTTCTTCAAATCAAACAAAAGTGGTCCACAATATGTACGTCTCCCACAGTGTGTGTCTGACAAGGTAATCAGCAACACAGGGGCACCACAAGGGACTGTCTTTTCTACTGTTTGTTTATAATGGAGCATTGTAACGAAAGATAATTTCCCCTAGGGATCAATAAAGTATTCTTATTCTAATTCTGATGTACTGTCTGAGTACTTGTGTATACATTTTCTGCAGTTTTATGTATTTATTTCTACTTTTTCATTGCAGGAAAACATTTTGTTTATTTCACTAAATGTATCTAATAACAGCGTTATGCACATATCAGAACCTTGACATATGTCAAATTTTGAGGTTTGACATATTTTTTTTATCCAACTCATCCTAGTTAACGACTTATCTTCCACTTTTACCCCCAGGTATGGAAAGAGTTTGACACACTGGCTGTATCCCAATTCAGGGTCTGCAGCCTTAAAGGCCGCATTTTAAGGCCAATTACGTCACAGCGACACGACGAAGGCTGTCCCAATTCAAAGGCTGCTCGAAAATGCGGCCCTCAAATGCGTCCTTCATTTCATTGAATTTTAAGGATGTGGCGGTGTAGACTCCGTGGCCCAACATATCCCAGAATGCATAGCGCGGCAGTGGGTGTGGATAATTTTGCCGGGGGAAAAAACGGAAGAGGGGCGGCCGAAGAGTAAACTTTTAAAAGTACTGAATATTATGTCACTTATTTATGTGCGAATGTTTAATAACGAAGAACATTAAAACATTACTGTTGGCCACATGTCGGCAAAGTTATGTGACATTAGCGATGTTTGTACTAACTTGGTTTTAAAGCCTTTTCTTTAAAATATACGCCGTTCAATTGTTGACGTTAATCTTACAGAGAATGTGATGATTTTATGGATATTTAAATTAAGCACTGAGACAATTTTAGTAATGGCAATATATTAAAAGAACAATATTTGTCTCTCATATATATAACACAGTTATATATACAGTGTCAAAGAAACCTGTCTTTGAGTGAAGATTTAAGGTGACAGGAAATATAAATAATTTAAATAAATGCAGCTTGAATCTTTACTGAAGCTCAGTATTTGAAACAGAGTTCATTCACTGCTGTAATAACTAATAATGATTGAAATTATAACTTTAATATTGGCCATATTATATTTACATTACCAAAGTGAGATGACTTTAGTCTCATGAATAACATTAGCTAATTGTTATTTACTAGCTAATCTTAAATGACTGTTCAGTACAGAAGTGAAGCCCAATAATCATGATTTCACAGTCAGCCTCAGATACTTATCAAATCAAAGCTCGTGTAGAAACAAACAAACAAATGAACAAAAGATTTTCTCCTCCATTTCTGTCAAACAAAGCTGTATGAAACGTTTCCAGCTGTTAGTGTCATGGTAGCGGAGGCTAGACTGTCCCATTTCACAAGCCTCTCACTTCCGGCCTTTGAGTACGCGGCCCTTGTGGGCCATTAAGGCTGCAGACCCTGAATTGGGATACAGCCCCTGTTTCGTTCTCCACCCAGTAACCTAGATTCCAGCAGGCAAAGATTGGACTGACGTAAACACCCAGGCCTAAATTACCTACTGGAGGCTCCGGGTCTAAATTAGTGCCCTGGCCATAAATAAACCAGAAGCTTAGTGAACAAAATCAATGCTTGGATGACGACATTGTGTCACAAATTGTATTTTCTATTCCTACATTGCCCTTTCGGTGTTTGGCGACAGTTGGCGCTTAGAGGTGCAGCTTTATTATTGGTACCCATAGCTGCCATTAAGACTTTTTACGGCTAATTTTATGCGCTGTAGACGGGGCGTCAATGTGGGCGGATACTCTTACAAGATTTTGATTGGTGCGGTCACATCATAGGCCTTGCTGTTTGATAACAAGGCAAGACGAGGGGGCAACCGTTTTCATTCAATTTGTTATCACTCCACAAGAAGCAAGCAAAGGATCTTTAAAGCTGACGAATACATCTGAAACTCTCGAGGTATGGCTTTTAGTCAACATGCAACTGAAATCTCGGTAATGTTAGACGAAATGGTAACTTTTACCTGATGCTATCTACCTTGTTAGCTTGCGTGCTACAGAGCTATCGTTTGCAGCTAGCTAGTTAATGCTAATATGAAAAATGGATGACGTTACCGTTTATATACTGCTTCTTTTCGTAAGTGTATTGAAACTGCATTTTATTAAGGACTGCTTCTTATTCAGATTCTCTTAGGATAACACTTCTAAGTGCCTCACACATTTATGATATTGGGATCGATAGTGGAGCAGTTAGCTTAATGGCTATTGCATCATTCTTTAGCTTTGCCTTTGACGCACATTCTGAGAACCTTCACAGACATGTTGACGCACATGAATACACGGTTTACCCTGAGATGATTTACAACATATGGACGATATAGCACGTCGGAAATTCTCCCTAATCAGTGTTTATTCACTAATTAAACCAAATACAATAAAGGTCATTCATTAATGCTGTCCGAGTAAATGTTGCTTATTAACCCATAAGAAGCCCTGTACACAGTGAGGAAAGTTCCTGTTAAGGCTTTAACACTCTCCTATAGGTTTTACTAACAGTAAAAAGAGTCTGGGCTCATATATGTTAAATTTTAAGTGTACAATAGTGTGAATTGAGGTTGCTATACTAGATGTCCGAAAAAGGCTGTGCGTGTTGTTGTTACTGAAAGGAAGGTTTGTTTGTTTTTTTAAATGCCCTTTCAACTCGACAAACCTTGTTGTTCAATAGCCAGACACGGATTCCGTAAATGCCAAGTAACAGGCAAGACTATGGTTTGTTGGTGGCAAAGAGTAAATTGTAAAGTTTGTTAAATTTTATAATGACCTTTATCTCCGCTAGTGTTGAGCTATAACCTTCAATTATTTTATGCCTCTTCATTCTTTAGTATGCTAGGAATCTGTATAATCTTAATGAACTTCAAAAAAAGTTTGCATATGCTACATTTAGTTGAGATTGTTAAGAATATATGCTTATGTGTTGTTTATGTTTTGAGAGACCTCTCATTTCTTTACGTTTTCCTGGGAAAATAGGAAATAGTTGGAAATCAAGTATTTGGGGTAAATACAGAGTTTTTATAATTCTAACAAGCTTAAAAGTCAATATTTGGAATGACTACCTTTTATTCTTTAAACAGTCTTCAGGACTAGTTCTCCAGACTTTTTGAAGGACGTTCGAAGCTCTTCTTTGGATGCTTGGTGCTCTTTGTTCCATTTTCCTTGACGGTGATCCCACAATGCTTCAATAATGTTAGGGTTCGGGATCCGGAGAGGCAAATCTATGACTAATGACTCTTAAGCTCATTTTTAGGCTACTTATATTTTTTGCTGTGTACTTGTTCAGTTTTCTATTTTAGCACATATTGCAGAGTTTTCAAACAACAGCTTTTTGAAAACTTTGTTGGTGTAAAAATACTTCTGTTCTGTCAAACTTATCTTTGGAGTTTTTTGTGGATTAAACTAAAGAAATGTCTTTATGTGACAGGCCGCTACTAACCAAGTGCCTAAAGATAAAAGGGATAAGATTGGTTATTTCAAGTCAAATCAAGTGGCTTTATTTTCATTTCAACCATGTGCAGTGGTACAGTACACAGTGAAGCAAGACAACGTTCCTCCAAGACTACGGTGCTATTTTTAACAGACAATCAACACAGGACTACATAAGGTGAGCAAGAAAAGTGTGCAAAGATTGCACACACAAAAAGACAATCAGTTGGCAAGTTGTCTGTTGTGTGTAGACACAACACTGGCTCATCTCTTGAATCGCATTGTGTAAATACTTAAATGATTCATGGGTCGATGTTGAGTAACTTAAAAAACAACAACAAAAATGGTCAAGTATAAGGGCTGAACTGAAAATGAACGAAAAAGCAGCCAGTGTCCAAAAGAAACTTTGAAAGACCTTCAATCAAAATGTAAAGAAAAGTGGAATGATTCAAGGCTTTTGCACAGTATTAGACATAATTTTATGTCATTTTATGTTACGTTCTATTTGTTTAGCAGCTCTTGGAAGATCAGCAATAAAATTAAATAAAACTGGGTAAAGCTTTTAGTAGTTAGTCGGCAAACACAGAATCCCTGTGGTATCCTTAAATGGAACTTCACAGTAGTAAATGCGCAACACTTTGAATTTAGAATTGATGATGATTCTTATTGTTAGTTGACTAAATTTTTATTTGAACGTGGTGAATGTGTGAACATGGGGTCTTGAACACAAGACCTGTTGGGCTCCAGTTACTGCCTGTCATTATTTTCTGTCAAATAATAAAAGACCAGTGAGAAGTTCAGGAAGTTCACAAGGGGTTCAAGGAGATGACTTCATCTAATAGTCTTAATGCAACATCCATTAAGTATATTTAAAAGTAACCACTTGATTATTTTTAAGCAAATGATCAAGATTAGTATCAGATGCTAGTAATAGGAGGTATTTGTCACTTATTACTAGATGGATTAAATTTCAAATGTTTCAAAAATATGAAGGAATTTGTGTCATCTCAGTTTCTTTCTATCTGATTTGTGTTTGTGTAATGATTTCTAGTTTGAAGAGACCTTTAGTCCTCATAATGGAGCCTCCTCCTAAACAAATAAAAGATTTTTGTCGTGCTGTGTTCCCAGTCTAAATGATGGATTTTCATTTTTTTTTCCTTTTCTCTTATTTTCCTGCT